CGAAGGACCGCCCAAGGACGGGAACGCCCTGGTTAGGAAGACAGCAGGTGAGACTCTAATTATCCTCAACCTAAAAATAAAGTTCTGACTCACTTGGACCACGAGGGTCATGTGTCAGCCCTTAAGAAGTCCGCATGTTGGGAATTACAAGCACCAGAACTAGGAGATCCCTCACCTGGTCTGACCTCATTTTACACATAAAACTGAGGCCCCAGGAGATGTGAGCTGCCCAGCATCGTAGCATTCTTTACAATCAAGCCGTGTCAGGAATACACATCTCCTGAGTTTTTGAGTACTTCTTCACCTTACTCTCTGGATTAACTTCTCTCAGTCCTTCTGGCATCAGAATTTACCCATCACGTGCTCCATGTATATGCAGCCCACCTGTGCTTAGCTCTCCCGCGCCCACTGTGGGGAGGTAAACAAGGAGACAGCGTGTTCACAACAGCGTGCTGCCTGTTGACCACAGCTGACCGTGCTCTTCCTTCTCTTGCCTCCTGGAGACTCCTTAACCCCACGCCGGTGTTTTCCAGTCACCATACAGAGGCTGGCCCTGCCTCAGGCTTTGAGGGGCCACTTGTAGAAGTCAGGAGTGGTGCCCCTCTGAGGCTCAGCCAAACCTGTCCAGAGAGACTGCAGCCTGTGAGCTGGGCCCCGGCCTGCAGAGGCTTCTGCCGTCAGCAGGAGGGGCCCTGAAGCTGTCTCTCAGACCTGCTGGCACTGACCCTCTGGATCTTTGCAAGGACTGTGGTTACTGAGATTCCAGAAGCCTTAAGAATCTGACGTGGCCACTAAAGGAAAATGGGAAAGGAAATGAGAACAAACACGTACTTCATGCCAACTACTGCTTGGAAAGGCTGCAGAATATGCGCTAGGACACAGCAGCTTTAAAAGGCATAACAACTTGCCGAAGCTCACGTGGTCAGAGCCAGTGTTCGGAACTGCATCATCTATCTGACCTCTAAGCCACGTCCAAGAACAAGGACTCTGCCTCCTTTTTCAGGTGGGTGCTTCTGGCTAAGAGGGAGATTCGAGGTGGACAACAGGGATAAGAAATCTAGGGCAACATGCAGCTGGGTCCCCACATTTTCATGTGAGCTGACAGATTATTTTAAAGGTCAATATCAAATTTTAATTTTTCTCTGTTCTAAAACGGTCTCTCCCTAAAAAAATACACAACTTTTTGTATTAAAAAATATAAAGGATCATATTTTTCTATTTCAGCATGAAAACTCCTTGATTACCTGAGGCAAAAAGCTGAGAAAAAGACGTGCACCGGAGGCTGCACGCTCACTATCTGAGAGGAATGGAGAAAAGGCTGAGACCCGGGCCCCCTCCGGCCCTTCCACTCGCGGGGCTGTCTTGGCAAAATCTACCTTTCTGAGATTCAGTGCTGTTGTCTCCACCACCTTCCAGGATTTTGGTAAAAATGCGAAATCATCTATTTGAAATGCCTGTAACCGTCTCCGGTACATAGTAGGCACTCAGTAGACAGCTATTATTCCCACGTCACGTTATGGTGTAGTTCTTCTTACAAGCAAAACATGTCAGTGCTCATAAGGAGAAGAGTTAAAGGAGGTCAAGTGAGAAGAGCAGAAGGAGGGGGAAGCGCACTGCGGAAGCTTAGCAGGGGCTCCAAGTTAACAAACCCTTTGAAGAGAAATGAATTCAGAGCAGCTGGCGATCTGGTGGTTCTTCTTCACGTGCGGCCCAGCCGCCTGGGGGAGGCTGGGGCCTGAGGCTCAGTCCTCCCTGTCTGAGCTCCTTCAAGGGGATTACGTGCTTCACCTCGGTCCATCTCTGCGACACGTCGCCTAATTATGTGGAACCACCAACAGATGGGAGCAGCTCTGGAAGTTTTCATCATTTGCAGGTAAATGACTACTCATTTTCCCCTCAAGGCCCCTTCCTCTCAGAGCTGGGTGATGGTTGTGGGGCTTCATTTACTGAGGAGTGTGGCGGATTAGCTTCCTTCAGGCCACACTTGGCTCTGCCTCCTGTCACCCCAGACATCAGGGCGTGCAGTCCCCAGGAGCAGGCCCTGTGCTGTGGAGTCCCACCTGCACCAAGCAGCAGGCAGGCGAACGGGTTAGCAAAGCAGAAAGCTTAGCTGCAAGCTGGAGAGACAGGGATTCCCTCACGATGGGGTAATGAAGGAGGCTGGGGGAGCTTGCAGGTCAGTGGGGATGTATCTGCCCCTGGTAAACAGCAAGGAAATATTCATGCCCTGTGTTCACTCATATTCATTCAACACACACACACACACATATCAGAAGATTTTGTACATATTGGGAAGCTGTCAAGCTCACAGTGCCATCTTCAACTCAGAAATCTGTATCTTCAGCCCAGATCCTACCCCTCCACCAAATTCCAGATCTTTGTGTCCAGCTGCCTACTTGACACCTCTCCACTGTCCCAGAGGCCACTCTAACTCAGCATGAAGAAAACACACTCAGTCTCTTCACTCCAACCTGGTCCTCGCCAGAGAGGGACCAGTGGTAACTCCAGCCAGATCTTTGACACGCCCCGCTCTCTCGCCACTGCTTCTACTCCCACAGACCCATAGCCAAGTCCTGTCGATTTTACCCCATAGCGAGCTGTTCCCACCCCTGCCCACAGAACACCTCCAAGTGGACCAAATGGAAACTGTCAGTCTCACTGTCCAGGCTACATACAGGGAAGCTGCCCCAGGCTGGCTCGTCGAGATGTTCAGGGCTCAGGACCAGACGGGCTTGGTGACATGGCTCACTGAGGACAGAATTAATTCCTTTTGTGGGAGTGTAAGATGGCCCTGCCAGTTGGGTTTAGTCTTGGGGCAGATCAGGGCAAGTCTGTAAGGTGTCAAGGACCTACTACCAATGGCCAAGAGACGGGCTGTCTGGTTCCCTTTCCAACACTGAGGACAGGTGATGGAAGAAAATAGGGGTTTCTGCACAATGACTAGGAAGACTGCCTACCAGAGTATAGCCACAGGGGAGGATTTCTGCCTCCTTCATTTGAATCCTTGTATTGCTGGGCTTTGTGAAACTAGAGGGGAAGATTCAAATACAATGGGTTAAAAAAGGTGAGATCTATCTATCCCCACAGTGAAGCTCTGGAGGCTTCTTAATTGCTGCATCTGGTCAACTCTATCCAAGGCCTCGGGGACCCTTCTTTCCATGGCCAAAGGCAGCAAGATGGTAGGCCCTCCAAATGAAGTGGGACTAAGCCGAGAGCATGCTCTCTGCAGGCCTGCTCAGACTACCTAAACCAGAGCATTTCCCGTGGCCTCTGAAGGGTCTTGAACCTCTGGGCACGGCCTTAGAGCCAATCAACTATACGTTAAGAGAAATGAAGTAAAAAATACGCACACTTGCCAAGTAAGAAATTTATTTGCTCAAATGATGATATATGAAGAGATTTTAAACGAGAAAGCTCTGTTCAGACAAAATGTAAGTTTATTATAAAGTAAAATGCTATCCATGTAAATGGCACCTAAAAGCAGGAAGGATGAGTTTCCTATAAATCGTGTCTGTATAAAGCATTCACAAAATCCTTGTGTACTTTAAAACTAGGTTAAGTGTATAACGGAAAAAACTTGTAAATAGTACTTCAAGCAGGTTTCTTAAATTTTACTTACAAGGTGTTGTTACACACAGGTGTTTGAGGGTTCTGTGACGATCAAAGCACGGGCACCAACCGTGAGAAAACGTGTCGTGGGTGCACGGCACCCTCGAGCTCCTGTGCTGTGTCCTGTCTCTTCACATCCTTGAGGTTGAATCGAGTGGGTGGGAATTCCTTATCACTCTAGTTGGGGATAAGCAGGGAAAGAGGTTGGGAACCCAGGGTTGGAAAGAGGGGAGGGAGGAGAAACTGAGGCATAGCAGGGTCAATGGTTTCTGCAGAGCAGCTTTAGAAGTTACCAAGGATTAAATAATGGCAGCAGATCCTTGGAGCTGCACTCCTGGGTCTGCAGGGAGGAGGGGCACCAAGCCCCAGGGTTGGGACTGACTGGGTACCAACCACACACTAGCCTGAAGTCTTCACTGGAGGGCACGGTCATCACTGGGGTGCACTGGGGACAGGGCGGAGTGTGTAGGTTACATCAACTTCCCTATAGATTTTTTCCAGCATCAGCATCCAAGTGACTCTGTCTCTGGGGCCATGATAGGACCTGGGAGGCAGGAATCAGCAGCTTTCAAGTTACGAAATCAGAAAAACTTCAGGCAGAACCAGACACCAAGGAGGTGACATCTCCCAGAGGGCACAGCATACTTTTGGCAGCAAAGCACAAAGATACCCAACGATTAAAGTGAAATAGAACCACAGGGGAAAACGGAAAAGATCCCAGAAAGCCAAGGATGGCAACAGAAAAGAACTATATAGCACCCATTATTACTAATTTAAGATCTATAAACATCATAGTGGGTCTACATAGGATCTGTGCTATTTTTTATAAATATAAGTATGAGGGCTTTCAAAATATTATAAATGACACATTTATAAATGTTACATTCCAGATTCATACAACGGACTTGATGTTACATTCAACATAGTAGATTTGGGGTAATATATAGTAGGGTAATTTTTGCAGACTGTTTTCTGAACCTGGTGACAACCTAGGTGAATGCCAGAAAACACAGAAAGCATCTTATTGGTGACTTTGGCAGCAAACGTGTTTTTATCTGTGCGTTATACAAAGATACACTTGTTCATTTGTAAAGTCATCCATCGACAATCTTTCATCTGCTTCTTTGCTATCAAGTCTAGTGGGGGGGCTTCTCAGTGGCTTTGGCTTCTTTTCTCTGAGTCACCTTGTCGCCCTTAGAGGGATGTATTTAAGAATAGCTTCTTGTTTCCCATTGAGGCTAAGTGACTTTTGGAAGATTCCTATCCTTAAGATTACAATCTTCATGATCAATGGCACACACACACATTTCAATAAAAACAGTAAATGACTTCATATCCCCTAGTTTTAGCAGTGTGCTTTTAAACACGTTTGTTCCCAGCATGACAGAAAACCACCTCCAGACACATGCAGGCTGATCATTAGAGGTGACCCCCCCTGCCGTCTGAGGTTGACAAGTGAGACAAGCCTGAAGGTGGGTCAGGGTAAGGAGACCCCAAGGTTCTGTGGACTCGGAGAACATTAAAAACATGGCTACTGCAGAATCTAAAAGTACTTTCTACTCAGAGAAGGACGTAGTGTCGAATTACTCTGTAGAGTAGTTCTGTAAATTAGTTTCCTGCATGTATAAACTCAGTGGCCTGCATGACCTCTCTCCAGTAGGTAAAGGAAAGAAGGATTAACCCCATGACATTTTCCACGTGATTCAGGCACAGGAGGAGATAGTTCAACCCGCTGCATCTTTACAATTAAAGCCAGATAAAGACATTCACCTTTGTTTCATTCCCCCAAAATAAATTCCTACTTTAGCAAACAGAAGACACCACTATAGCCATAAAGTGAAATCAGCCTTTCTACGGTAATGTTAAAAAGCCAACATTTGATAAATACATTAGGAGCTGGATACCCACTCTGCGGAAATTTTCTCAGTCAGTGACCAAACATGAAAATTTAGCTCAAGAGAAATTACTAAAATAACTGGCTTAAAAAATGAGGAAATGAGGTGACCCTAGAATAGCTTATTTTTATATCGTCTCTAACAGAAATCACCTCTTGGCAAAAGATGCTTCTGGCTCAGCTCATCTGAAAATAATTTCATTTGGAACTTTTCTTGGCTATTTATAACAGGGGGCTGACTCAAAGTCGGTTCCAGCGGATGACACAAAATCAAGGTCAGTGGGGAATGATGTGGGGCTGCCATTCAGTGGGCTTCCCCCGGCGAGTGGCTTGGCCAGGGGTCACAGCCACATTCACCCTCCTGATGACTGAAGCACATCTTCTCATTTCCCCAGTACCAACCACCCTTTCCTGAAACACGACTCCAGTAGAAAAGAGGGACCTGGAATCTAGGCCCACACAGCACTGTCTAGGTTGGGTGCCCATGGCGGGGCCTGTGGTGACCCATCTGCCCCATAACTGTGTCCACACCCACAGCCCTGGTACTGGTGTCCTGCACAGGTCCTAAGGAGACCTCTGTGGCCCTGGGGAAACAGCCTGAAACGTCAGGATAGTGACTAAAGAAGGCAGTGGCTCTGTCAGTCAGTCACTCTGTGACACCTGATTGGCCTACTTGACTCTCTGGTCCTCCTGACCCCAGGGAACGTGCTCCCCCCAGCAGAGCCTGGGCCGAGCTGAGCGGGCTCAGCCCCAGGCAGACACGCAGCTCAGAACTGCTTCCCGCCGTTCTCTCTCTGCTCCAGTTTTCAGCCCTGCTTATAAACAGCACCGTACCCGGGTGGTGTGGGCAGGTCTGAGGGGTCTGTTCGTTAGCAAGTGTCTCCACTCTGCCCACGGACGTGAGGCAGCCCGGGGGAGAGACGCGTCAGGCCTAAGAGAAAAATACACACAAGTCACATTGTGTCTGTCTTTAAAATTTTCCATCCAAAACATCAGCAGAACAAAGCCTGAGATGCCTTGCTTTTTAGTGTTCCCTTAGCCTCAATTTCAAACTTAACACTGGTTGTTAAAACTCTCAAATGGACAACTCCATAGAAGAAAAGCTGTCTCTGAGGACCATGAGCAACAGCTCGGAAAGATGAGTGGAGGCATCTGCAGTGACGGAGCGCTACGATGTTTTTAAAAGTTCAAGGTAAACACATGTAGAAAGTACTGCGAAAATCTCTCTCTCAAAATAGCACTAGGTTTAGTTGCAGGGCTCAGTAAAACAAAAAGCTGACTAGTAAAACGAGAGCGAAGATAACCTTCGGTTTTGGAATCTCCCTCGCTTTCCCGCCCTCAGACTCTACAGGCTGAAGGTACTAAAGCAGAAAAATCTAAAAGCAATGAAAAACTGCTGGTATTTTTCAGGATCTCTTCAAGATAGTTCCCATCCTGGTAACTTGAATCCTCTCTTGGGAATCAAGGCAACTGACGAACTTTAAATGTATTTGGAGACGCGGGTTCAAAGACCTCGTCGTCATCTTCCACCCCTTCTTCTATTGGTTTCATCTTGGCGGAGGATCGCTGGTGGGGGGATGACACATCTGCCAGAGACACAGAAAGGAAAACTGCTTAACGTACAGCCTGCCCCACTGCTGGTGTGACATATCAATTATAAACTCCAAGTAGAAAATAAAACCCTGGGAATCTACAGCTGGTACTGGGAATGCAGTTTCCCTAAATACTGTATTTTCAATCTAGCATCCCAGGAAAACAGCATTGGGTTAGCAGACGTTGGGTCCTGTCCAAAACATCTGTAGCATATTTGGTCCACACCAAAAGGTCCCTGAAAATGTGGTCCTATGCAAAATGTGCATGAGTAAACTGGTCCAAGCCAAAAAATTCTTGAAATATTGTGGTCTTATCTGAAACATTCACAAGTAAGTTTTGGTCCATGCCAAGTTGTTTTGGATAAGACCAAATATAAAGAACCTTTCTGCATGGACCGAATGTCACCATGGATGCTCTGAACAGGAGCAACTAGACCAAATATCAAGGACCCTTTGGCATACCAAATGTCTTTTGGAAATTTTGGGCAGGACTACATGGTCCTACAAGTATCAAGGACCTTGGTCTGGACCAGATGTCTTATGGACCAAATGACTTGCAAGGCAGCCAAGTCAAAAAGCCAATCTCAGAGGTGAGAACAGATGTGGAGGTAATTCCACTGCAGGATGATATGAGCTTCTCAATCACCCGCAGTTCCCAGCAGGTTTCCCCAAAGTCTGTTTAGAACTCAGAACACATGCTCCTACATGAATAGCATATGTGGTGATTCAAGTCCCTCGAAGGCTGATTTAACTCCTAATTTCCCTAAGGAATGGGTCTACTCTAAAACTGTAGAACTTAACACCATCTGGAGCACCACCTAAAACAACATTGCTTGTCACCACCTGTCCAGCCACTCCCTGGACTGATATGGTAGAGAGAGAAAGGGAGGTAGAGACAGGGTGAGCCCAAGCACACAGGAGGGAAGATCCGGGTGGTGGAAGTACAACCCCAAATAGCAGCAGATCCCCGGGGCCTTTTAGGGTGCCACTATAGCAAAGGAACCAAATAATAACTCATTCATTCTACCCCTCATTCATTCATGCAGTCACCAAATGCTTAGCATCTACTATAATGGACACCATGCTTGGTGTAGAAAAAAAATGGTTGTCAAAACTAAAACAGTTACCATGTAATCCAGCGATCTCACTCCTGGGCATAT